TACTATCTTCAGCCAAAGACAAAGGAGCATGTTGGGGGTGGGGGGCGTCAGTTATGGGAGATTACCAGAAAAGCACAGTCAACAAGAGTAAGGTTATTATGCAGATTTAAAGCCTCACCTTCCACATTGACAAGTTTCTAGAGATGAGGTCATCCCCCCTCTTCCTAGTACAGAGAGGGAGATACCTTTACAAATGGAGATTTCCCTTATAAATGTAAATGTTTGTCTGGCTACTCTTTTCAGGGCCACCTAGAGAATGAGGCTGGGGAGAGACAGAATTTTTGATAAGAGTGGCTTGGTGGCTTTCCTCTTGTAACATCTATTTTACATTAGATTACAGCCATCATATGGTAGTAACTCCTTCCTGAAACAGGTCTTCTATGTGAAATTCTTTAGGCAGTTTGGGGGAGGCCAAATGTCCATCAGAGAAAATAATTAAGGTAAAGAGATATATTTCAGGGCCGGCCCTGTGGCTTAGCGGTTAAGTGCGCATGCTCCGTTGCTGGCGGCCCTGGGTTCGGATCCCGGGCGCGCACCGACACACTGCTTCTCTGGCCATGCTGAGGCCGCATTCCACATGCAGCAACTAGAAGGATGTGCAGCTATGACATACAACTATCTACTGGGGCTTTGGGGGAAAAATTAATTAATTAATTAATTTAAAAAAAGAGAGAGAGATTTCAGGGTGGCCAATTTTGATCTCCCACACATACATACTTGTTATAATTAATAAAGTGTAAGTTCATTTGAAAATATTTTTTAATTCATAGCAGCTTTTTTCATTATACATTTCTTTAGGTCTGGGGCAGGGTCCAGCAATCTGCACTTTAAACTAGCACCTCAGGAGATTTTGATGCATCAAAACATGTTGACTGCCTACTGTGTGCCCTGTCTAGGAGGACAAAACAGCCAAAGACCTCCTCTCTCATGGTTCACACTGCAGTGGGGGAATTCCAAAGGAGGTGTTTCTAGGACACACTGCTCTAGATGGGGAGGCATGCCCTCACTGCATGTAACCACACCAAGTCCCGCCCTCTGCATCTCCGCTTTTACCACTCCTTTCCCAAATCACTGCTTCAGCTTCTAGTCGTTTCCGCCACGGGTGCCAGAGTAATCTGTAATCCCCCGATGGAAACATACCTCTCCTCCTCTGCACTAGACCCTTCATTGTCACCACATGGTGCTCAGGGGAAAGACAAATTCCTAAGTTTAGCCCCTGCTGGCCTCTGCAGCCTCTTCACCCCAGGCCCTACATTCCAGCCAGACCCATCCTTTCCCCCCAGTTCCAGGATAGAGCCTTTATACCTATGGTTCTCTCTCCCTACAAAACTCTTCTCTTTTATTTTTCTGGCTGATATTACTGCCAGAGAAGAGTGAGAACCCCAAAAATGGGGTTCTCCTACCCAATGTGCATTAAAAAATCCAATTATTACAGCATCAGATTTGGGAAAAGAAAACAGCTTTATTGCTAGGTCAATCTGCAAGGAGACAGGAGGCATGTGCTCTCAGATCTGTCTCCCAGATCCAGGGCTTGGGGCAAAATTTATGGGACAAAGGTCAAGGTGATCTGAAGCGTGGAGATAGATGATTGGAGGTGAGGAGAAGTGAGGTAATTGATCATCTGCACAAGCTTTATGCCTCTTCATGTTCACAAATGGCAGCATTACCATGATCTGAGGGTGGGGTTTTCAGTCCTTTGATGTCAAAAAGGTCACTTAATGGACATTTGCACAGGCCCAGTTGATGGGTTGGTGGTCTCAACTGGCCTGAACTGGACAAGGGGGTCTCTCAGTTCCTGAAAAACAACTCTTAATTACTCTGTTTATAAGATCAGGTCGGTTGAGCGGGTCCTAGAGGGCCTGAGTTTGAAAACTAACTCTCTAGTTTTCAAAAATTGACCCACACATTCCCTGCTCAGGAGCCCTCCTCTGAGTGTCTGGCGGTGGATTGGTCCCTTCCCACCACCCACCACCGCTTCTCTGCGAAGGTCCTTGCTGTCTCTGAACGCTGGTTATGTCAGCCACTCCAATCAGACTGGCAGCTCTCTATAGGCAGAGACTGTGTCACTTATCTTTGAATCTCCTGGACCTACACAGAACCCAACCACCGTAGGTATTCAACAAACAATGTGTTCACTGGCGGGAGAGTTTTCCAGCCTCAGGAACACACAGTAAATGTGAACATTCATTTGCGTTCCATCAGCTCAGAGCTCATTCTTGGCCTTGCTGATGCTTTTGTGATGGGAAGGCGTAATCCCCTGGGAAATGTTCCTGCAGCGAGAGTATGCACCACATCAGTCCCCAGCAGTGATGGGCGGCTGTGAAGACTGCTTGATGTTAACAGCTAATAAGATGGTTCCACAAACCCAAAGTAAATGCAAATCTTTTAAAGAGGTAGTATTTTTAGCCTGTAGAGTGACTTTTTTTTGTTTTGTATTTGCTTTGTTTTGGCAGATGCTTGCTCAGAAATCTGGCAACATCATCAACATGTCCTCTGTTGCCTCCAGCATCAAAGGTGGGTCTGTCTTCCTCTGGGGTCATGATGCACATGTTCACACACCTTCACCAGCTAAGAGTTTTGAGAACAAGCAGAGCAGAGATGATAAAACTCACACATAACTTCGAAAGTGCTTTTTTAAAATTAGTATTAAGTTCCTTAACTACCAGTCCTTTCACCTTAGATGTTGTTGGGGAAGAGGGAGAATTCCCCCGCTCTGCCCTTTCCCTTAAGGTTCTTATGGCTGGCCGAATAATTAAAAGACAGGTTAGCAGGAGAAAATAATACCAAGTTTAATAACATGTATACATGTGAGAAACTCAGAAATGAGCAACTCGTCCCTCTGTCTAAGCTGCTTGCTTAAGTATTGTAGCTAAAGGCGTGGAAGGTGTTGGAGGGGTAGTGGTTTGGGATTTCAGAGGGGAAGAAGACAATTCACAGGGAGATAGAAATGCAAACATTTGTCTGACAACTCTTTTCAGGGCCATCTATAAAGAATGTGGCCAGAGAGAGACAGAAATTTTGATAAAATGGTCTTGGTGCCCTCCCTTTCCTATCGCAGCATCTTATTTTACATTAGACCACAGCCATCATATGGTACTGGCTCCTTCCTGAAACAGATCTATGTGAAATTCTTTGGGCAGTTTGGGAGGAGAAATTCAAAAGTTCTTCCTGAGTCTTCTGAGTCTTTATTGTCTTCAGCTTGAAATAATCTGCATGCCAGAGTGGTGCATCTTGGGGTGGCCTGCCCTGAGCACCATCAGTGTGAACCAGTCATAAAATTAAATAAGCGTTTGTTTGCTTTGCTGTCCCTTTCATTCTTTCTAATGGATATGGAGATGAAGATCAAACTGGGAGAAGGAAACATTTATTCATTTAATTAATCAAAAAGATGTATTGGGGACCAGCTGTGTGGCATAGTGGTTAAGTTCATGTGCTCTGCTTTGGCGGCCCTGGGTTTGCAGGTTTGAATCCTGGGCACAGATGGACACACCACTGTGCATGCTGTGGCAGCATCCCACGTACAAAATAGAGGAAGATGGGCACAGATGTTGGCTCAGAGCCAGTCTTTCTCAGCAAAAAGAGGAGGATTGGCAATAGATGTTAGCTCAGGGTCAGTCTTCCTCACCAAAAGAAAAAGATGTATTGAAGAACCAGTGTGTGCCTCTGCCCCAAAAGAATTCACAGTCCAAAAGGGGGAAAGAGTCAGGCAAATGCACGTCTTCCACAGTGTGATAGTATCGTAACAGAGGTTTGTAGGAAGTGCTGTCACAATGCAGGAAGAAACTCTGCCGGTGGGCTTGGGGAGTGCTTCACAAAGACAGTTGGTCTAGGCCCTAAACCAGAAGCCAGGTTGAAGGGCCAGGATTGCAGTGCAAAATGGAGATAAGGGCACAATAAGGCACACATGGATTTGCCAGTTTAAAATGCAGTAGCTACTGCTGAGAGAACATTCCTTCTTTTTGCAAGGATACACACGTTAAGCCTGCACAAGACAGGAATACAAAGAAATGCCCAAGCCTCTTGGTTTTTTGTTTGTGCTTTGCTTTGCCCTAATTTTCTTTTGGAATCTGCCTAAGGGTTCTCCCAGTTGATGATGAAAAACTAAGACCCCTGCTGTCATTTAAGTGCAGCATCTCAACACCTAAGCCTCAGTTGAGTTGTGCCAATAATGGTGTTATTTTCCCAGATTCAGAAACTAGCTCTATTAAGGGAGAAAACCTGATGTCAATTTTTAAAAAGGATTAGGTGGAGGAAGCATGACACTGGTTACTGGGGACAGTTATCTGTGTTCCCTTTCTAATGGAGGCTATGTTTTTTATTCCTTCAATTGTCGAACCTTCCCTTCGTCCTCAGGAGTTGTGAACAGATGTGTGTACAGCACAACCAAAGCGGCCGTGATTGGCCTCACCAAGTCCGTGGCTGCAGACTTCATCCAGCAGGGGATCAGGTGCAACTGTGTGTGTCCAGGTGAGTTGGGCTCCTCTGGGCTGTGAACTTGTCCTTCCTGACTTCCCAGGTGCCACTGAGAGATCTACATGAGCTTGTTCACCACCTGTTATATTGTGTCCTGTCATTGGGGAAAGTTCAAAAGAAAAAGAGTCTAGGCTTGTTACGGTAAGTTGGGAGAGAGATCCTAAGTCATCAGGAATGAGCCACAGAGGCAAACAGTTTAAAGGCTCCTCATGTGCGTGGGGGCAATTCTAAACTGCGTGGTTAAGAGACATAATTCGCCAGGGCTTGCTGTTTTCGAAGCAGACCAGGGATGACCTTGTCAAGGGAAAGATGAAAATTAGACCGTGTTCCCAGGACAGCAGAAGAAAGTAAGAGGAGCCTCCCAGGACACAGAGGCTCTGCCATGTAAATCACCTGGGTTGGCCCAGGAATCAAAAGGAGGGATTAGCGAGTCAGCAAACTATGGCCTGCAGGCCAAATCCGGCCCACCACCTGTGTGTAAATACAGTTTTATTGGAGCACATGCACACCCAGTTTGCTTCTCTATCGGCAATGGCTGCTTCATGCTACAAAGGCAGAGTTGAGACCAAATGGTTCTCAAAGCCAAAAATATTTACTGTTTGGCTCTTTACCAAAAAAGCGTGCTGACCTCTCATAAAAGAAAGGAGAAAAGCAGAACTTATTATTAGTAGAAAGGACATTCAATATGTCTAAAGTAAAGCTTCCAATAACTTATTTCTTAGGAATAACTTCTCATTTTCTTTCTTTTTTTTTTTTTTTTTTTTTTGTGAGGAAGATCAGGCCTGAGCTAACACCCATGCCAATCCTCCTCTTTTTGCTGAGGAAGACCGGCACTGAGCTAACATCTATTGCCAATCCTCCTCTTTTTCTCACCTTTTTCTCCCCAAAGCCCCAGTAGATAGTTGTATGTCATAGTTGCACGTCCTGTTAGTTGCTGTATGGGGGACGCGGCCTCAGCATGGCCGGACAAGCGGTGCGTCGGTGCGCGCCCGGGATCCGAACCCGGGCTGCCAGTAGTAGAGCGTGTGCACCCAACCGCTAAGCCACGGGGCCAGCCCCCCTCATTTTCTTAATATCAGTGGGTGTGTCTATTAAATAGAGATGCCCTTTCACCTGGCTCCACTGACCAAAGTGAGCACAGGTACCTAAGAAGAATTATTAACTTCCTCTCTGAGAAGAAATGATATTGCATATCCAGGATCAAGGTTTCTCTCAGTGGTTCACAACTGGTTCTGGGGTTGTGGAGGGAAAGCATTTCAAAATTACCTGTGGGACCTTTCAGAACCTGAAGGGCATGCTAGGATTTGGGGAAGGAGTTGGTGGGGAGTAGTCTGGACAGTCCCACTGGAGACTCTGATGTAACCCAGCCTGGTCTCCCCTCAGGTTGAAAACCACTGATTTATTGGTTAAACAGGGAAAACAACTAAATACCTTTTGTTGACACAAAATAACCAATAACCATTATATAGATAAGAGAGATAAGGTGAGATTTACTTGAGCCAGGGTGAGGACTAGCCCAGGAAGGCAGTCTCCACAAAGGAAGAAAGTGTTCCAGAGAAGCATAGTCTTCACTAGAGCTTTATACCTTTTTAGAACAAAGAACACACATAAAACATGCCCAGGATACATGTTCAAAGTTTCAGAGAGGTACTCAGTTGCAGATTAGCAGGTCAACATGACCCTGAAGTCGGGAAAGAGAACTTATCTTCAGGAGCACTGATAGGGCTTACCGACTTACCATACTGGTGGATACTGGTGGGCGTAGGAGGGGAAGTATGCATCCTTACGTTCAAAGAGTGCATTCTTTTACTTTGAGATAATGCTTAATGCACTCTTGAATGGTTAAGGCAGATGTTTGATAGGCCATAAGTCAGGCTTTTTTAGTTCAAGCCAATCAGTTTTAAACCAAAATAGCTACCCCATATACCTCAATATGCGAAAATTTCTTGTCACCTTCAAGCTACAGCATTCCCATTATTGAGGTGTTGTGTATAGTTTTCGTTGGATTAAAAAGATAAACATCGGTAACACTAAGAAAAAGGAGAATACAGGAGAGACGGTTTCACTGGATTTTAACATACAAACTGGTGACACCTGAGTCTTGCTGTTCTTGGTGCCATGTACCCCATAGAATAAATGGCACAATGTTTTGGAAAATGTGATTGTTTTAGTAACTCTACTTTTCAGAAGATTGGAAAATATGTCATCAAATTCTCTGGAACAAGGAACTAGCTGTGACTCACTGAGCCAGTCCCAGAAGGAAACGTGATGAAGAATGAGTGTGTCTGGGATGGTGCTGAGGGCTGTAGAGTCACGGCTTGTCAACACGACTTGTGTGGACAGTAGCATGGTGTGTCAGCCTGTGCCATCGACACAGCAGAGGCAGGTGACAGTGGAATGAAACAGAAGGCATAGGCTTGCTCCACAGCTTTCATTTAATAGCCATTCATACCGGCCACATGTAAGATGTGACGCTCGTGCGCCCCAGTGGGAGGAAGCTGTAAAAGCTGTAGGGATTTGGAGGAGAGTGTTAGAGAAGCTTAAGGCGCCTTGAGCACACTGCTGGTGAAATGTGGGACTTTAAGGAGGCTGTTGATGAGGGAAATGAGGAAAATGTTATCTGAAACTGGATACAAGGGGATGTTTGTTATGTGGTTTCAGAAATTTTATCAACACTATTGGCTGCAGTAACGTGGAAGGTAGAAAAATGTTTCTAATGAACCAGGAGATGTGGCAAAGGCAATTTCCACTCAGAAGAGAGTGCTGCCCCTCAGAGTAAAATGAGAGAGGAGAGAAAAGCTAAAGAAAGGGCTGTTAAACAGAAAGGAGCCAGAACATGCAGATTTTGAAGCTTCCCAGCCTCCCCTGAGACATGGCAAATGGTGATAAAATTAATGGTGAAATGGTTTCCGAGCAAACATCACATCTATGGCACTCTCAGGAGCATGGTCTAAAGATGGAGCTGAGGGCTGACTGCAAAATCGTTTTTTATGACCTCACAAAGACTATGTGGTCTCCTGGAGTACTGTCAGCCAGAAAAAGGCCCTCTGTAGAGAATTTACAGATTACATAAGTTAACAAAAAAGTCTGGGGAACTTGCTCTGTAGGATCGTGAACTAAGCGGGATTTAAAAAATTTTAGTGTCATTCTTATTTTTCTCTTTTTAAAGTAAAATATTATAAATTATATTTTTTGATGAGAAACATGAAACAGTGTTAAAATAGGAATTTGAAGCCTATGAAAATAGGAAAGATAATGAGGAAAATTTAGAGCCGAGGACTGTGACAGGCATGGAGTTGTCCCTGAGGATTCAGAGTGACTTGACAGCAAAGAATGGTTTTGAGATCCTGAAGACAACCTGGGTCCTTGTACTGGTGAAGAACTTGTATGGTTTTATCTACCCCTCAGGGCTGTTGTGAGGATCACTGAGATAATAACTGTGAAAGTACCTATAGTCCATAAAGCATCATGTCAATGTGACGGGACTACAATGCTGGGGATTCACCCCGAGTTCCTGCCTCGTGTCACAGAGAATTACAGTCTGTGCTTTTAAAAATCACAGAAATGTTAGTAAAGAAGTTGTAAGCCTATTTAATAAAAGGGCAGGCAGGGAGAGGTGAAAATGTCATTCTAAGTCATGGAGAGGATTTCTCTGATCACTGTATCCTACAGAAAGGAAGTTTAATTGTCAATTTCTTTTTCAGTCTAAGTAAGTAACCAAGCTGAATGTCCCCCTTTGATTTAGGTACAGTTGATACCCCATCTCTGCAAGAAAGAATACAAGCCAGACCAAACCCTGAAGAGGTATGTCTGCTATTTTAAATGTGTTTAAATCTTCTGGTTAAAAAAACTGCCCTCTTCCTTACCTAGAATAGACAAACGCGTAGAGACAGAAAGTAGAAGGGTGGGTGGCAGGAGCCGGGAGAGGGGGACTGGGGAGTTAGTGTTTCGTGGGTAGAGAGTTCCAGTTTTGCAAGATGAAAAGAGTTCTGGAGATTGGTTGCACAACAATGTGAATGTACTTAACACTACTGAACTGTACACACTTAAAAATGGTTATGATGATAAATTTTATATTATGTGTATTTTACCACATTTTCAAAAAAATTTAAAAACCCTTTTCTTTAATATTAATTTTCTGACCTGTCACAGTGTCTGCAGGCTTTAGTGTCACACAAATATTTGAGCAGCTTGGGCGTCACCATAGTCCTGCTTGGCCCACAATTAACGATAGTAATGATATTCTCATGTATTACGTGTCATGCGTGAGTAATCAAGGCAGCAAGCCAGTGGTGCCTCTGTAGATTCCTCTTGCCTTTGACCTCCTGAAGGAGTTGCAGGTGAGTTCACACCTCAGCTCGCATCACTGATGTCTGGTTTGGTTTCTGGTCACAGGCACTGAGCGATTTCCTAAAGAGACAGAAGACGGGAAGATTTGCAACCGCAGAAGAAATAGCCCTGCTCTGCGTGTATCTGGCTTCTGATGAAGTAAGCGCTGTTCTTCCCAGGGAGGTCATTATCCTCAATCACATTGGGCCACAACTTGCTCAGCAAAATAATGTCATTTTAGAGAGTTATGGCATATATATGTTAAGATGCTGCATTTACAAGCTAGGGATAAGTGCTGATTAATTTGCTCAAAGAAGGGCCACTTTGATCTGAGCCAACAACTCTTCCCCACTCAACTTTACATGTCAGTAAAACTTCTAGCAAATAAAATGGAGGATTGAAAAAAATTAAATTGTTCAATTTTATGAGAGACAGTTGCTTTCAAAAATTACAATTGGGGAAACCTTTAAATGTAATTAAATAAATGTAATTAAATCATTACATTTAATCAACAATCAACCAAATGAATTATTTGTTTTTTTATTTATTTGATTTAATCAAACAAATGAACCTCCAAAATCATGAGGGCTTCTGGTGAAATAGGGAGAGTTAACCAGATTTAATTGTGTCCAGGTGACACAGAATTGGCATCTGGTGTTCTTAGTTTTACTGGCAGCTTGTTTAGAAGAATCCCACTGGCTCTTTTTTCCTATGACTTCTTACTGTTTGTCATCTTATATGGAAATTCCTAATTCTTTCTCTTTCCACGTTGCATCTATTTAGTAATCAGTTTCTTCCTGAATGGCTATTGTATATTTTTAAATGGCGTACAACTGCAAAAGCAGAAACTATATTTATAAGGAATAGAGCACAAGAACATCTCCCTGTGTTATGTCTTGGAATATTACATGCCCTGGGAACCTAATGTATTGTGTCACTGATCAGTCGGCTCCTCTCTACAGGAACCTGGTGCACACCGGGTGGCTGGTGAATGTGACAGATACAGGGGTTGAAATGTCTTAATGACAGAGCGGTTACTACTTGTCAGAACTATTAACAACAGCTGTTAATAGCTGGGGAAATTGCTAGATAAATGACTAATGGAGCAAGTCCACTGGCTTTTGTGATTTCTCTGAATCCATATCTCCAGAAGAGCTCATTTGATTTGCCAGTACTGCTGATAAGCTAAATTGTCCTTGTTTAGCCAGAGCTTAGGTTACCAAATATTTGGAAATGTTCTGGCTTGAAATGTGCAACAGAAGGAACTTTGGCCTTTTAGAGGAGCCCAGAGGAGTCCATACGTAAGACCGAGAACTTGCCTTTTAAAACAACTGGGGGGAATTGGGGTTGTTTCTTGGTAAACTGATTTATTTGCTTTATATGATCAGTTTTCATATACTGAACTTTAAAAATTTCTGTACTTCTATTATGTCTTTCCTTCCTGCCTCTTCCATTGTCTCGGGCGTTAGATGAATTTAAAACTTAGAACACAAATTTGTCTTTATTATCCATGTTTAAGTTAAAAGATTGTTGAACCTCTATCACAAGGATCACTTCAGCTTTAATTCTTTGGAAAATGAAAAATTCTGTGGCAAAAAACACTAATGTTTTTTAACTCCTTTAGTTTTATACAGATTTAGATGTCTAAAAATAGTATAGAACATTTTTCATAGTTTAATAGATAATTATTATTCACATAAACTTAAAAAACACATTTAGCATGCTTCAGCTCCTGGAATTACCTGTGTATATTGATCAACTAAATATACACTATCTTTTTAAAAAGTTTTGTTTGTTAATTGACATCACCACTTTATGACTGACACACTCCTCTTTATTAATGGCATAAAACTCAGCTAGTTTAGAATAGTTATGAGTTTCAAAATGAAAATGTGCTGTTTTAGCCTACACTTTATCCTAATTTGGAGAATGGCTATGTATCACCAAACTGCTTAATTTTCTGAATCTGAGACCAAACACGTAACAGCCCCTGCTTAGAATGTGATGTGTGCTCAAACACCAGCTAGAGGCCAGTTAGTTCCAGGTCACAAGAACACTCAGCAGTTTCAAATCACCCAAAACTTAATTCCAGTTTTCCTAAATTCTATTTGTTAAATGAAGTTTTCTGTAACCACGAGAGTAAATTGTTATCTCAGTTGTAGAAAAGTTGAAGAAGCACAACCTCTGTAAAATCTGGCTAAGCATTCTGTCTCCTTGTGTCTGTCCCTGCAGTCTGCCTACGTGACAGGGACTCCTGTCGTCATCGATGGAGGCTGGAGCCTGTGAGGCAGGGTCTCCTCGAGGGCAAGGCAGGCCCTTCCTGTCCACAGGGTATGAAGAAAACTCACTCAGCATCTCTTTCCTATTAATGGTATATTAATGAAAACAAGCCCTTTTTAATAATGTCATTGTTCACTAGGGTTTGATTCTTTAAATATATTAATCTTCTAATCTCTTGTGAAATCATTGTAGGTTAATAACACCACTGCAAAAGAATAGCTTTTAATCCTCAATTTGTAAGCATATAAAATTAAAATATGAATATGAAGAAAAGGAAGTTTTTAAAAAGAAAAATGTATTAATTTCTATTTTATTTCTATTGCCCAATATTAAAATATTTTCAGTTCTGCATTGGTCTGTGGATGCTAATGGATACTAATTTAAAGTGGATACTAATTTAAAATTTTTACACTATTATAAATGAACACCAAAGGTAGGAAGGAGTTTGGCTTCAATAACTTACATTAAACTACATTAAAAGGACAATAAAGGACTATTCAGAACTATATGTTGGTCTGTTATATAAAAGAAAAATAATCATCAGGTGTTTATACTTAATGGCTGTCATCACTTGTAATTACGTACTGTTTTCTTAGTCTAATTTAAAAAATCTTCATTAAAATAAACAATGATATTTGATGTGAGCCTAAAAAACATATAGTTAACTAACTGGCAGTATTGTCAGTTTGAGCGATATTTTTTAGCTTAAGTATAGATTTCTTCAGCAAATTCCAGGATAACAGACAAGAGGACATAAAATTTAGAAATAGCCTCTAGATAATTAAATATAAATGAATCATATAAAAGGAAACAAAACTAAAGAAAATAAAATTTTCAAGAAAAAATTTAAGTAAATTCATGGATGACAGTTCTATGACAGAGTACTAGGGAGAAGTTTTTTCCAGTTCTTTTAGTTTTAGGATTTTATCTTTGTTTTTTATTTGTTGTTACCTCAAAGGCCAAATGGTATGATGCACATATAGATACTCAGTAAATGAGCAGTTACTCTTTTCTGTTAGAACCTCAATTCATATTAACAAGGAATTTTTTTAAATGGACAATGAAAGGATAACATTTTATGTATGAGGCGGAATATTATGCAGTTGATGAAGATGAATTAAAATTGACAGCAAAAGATATTTTGACTATCATTCCTGATAAGTCATTGATTGTAAGATTTGCCTTAGGCTTCTGGACCAGGTGCTCCTCTACTGGATCACAGACAGCTTGGTTTGTGACCTAGACCAGTCACCTAATTTATCTTGGATGTTAGTTTCCCAGTTTGTGAAATTAGGGAGTTAGGCCAAATGACTTGCATTTCTTTTGGTGTATCATAATCAAATTCTGTAACTTCTTATCAAGGGAAGTAACAGAACACTGAAGCTTATGTTATGGAGTACTTTATGCTGTGAGCAGATGGGCCTCTATATGTATATGTATATGTATATTTTTCAGTGTATTAAGGTCTTTAGAATTATAACCCTATTGACTAGATTTTGCCTTTATTGTTATTTTTTTTCAGGATTTCCATAGAAGGCATTGTAGAATAAGTGGGAAAAAGTTGGTGATGTAGGTCTGAGTCCTGGGGCCCACACCAAAAGTTGCTGTGCTGGATATGGAAGTTTGGCCCTCCCATCCATTCCTACTTGCTTCTCCTATGCCTTCTTGTACAGGAGAAACTGGAAAGCTAAAATATTTCCTAGACTCCCTTCCAGCTAGAGTTCTGGATGTAAAATTAGGGTCTGGCAAGTAGATGACTTGCCTGAGATTTCGAAGGCAGGGATGAGGCAGAGGCCATCTCCCTGCTATTTTTGGCAAATTTCTGTTGACAAGGAAGGTCCAAGAGATGCCAGTGTCCAGTCTCCAGAACTGTGGGTGTTGGGAGGGCCTTACAGCAGCAGGGACAGCCTGACTCAGCATTGTCGTGTTGAATCACCAGCTCTGTGGCTGTCCAGAGGCAGTTAAGGGAGGTGGGGAACATCTGTGTTCTCTGTCCAGGCAGCTTCCAGATCCCAGCTTCTCGGGGTCACAGCTTCAGGGTTGTTCTTGAACTCTGTAGTCCCTGTGGGGTCTCCTGATTGAGGCAAAAATAGTACATTCCCCAGTGGTTCAGTTCCTAGTGTTCTAAAAGTCAGTCCTGGAGGCCCAGCCTAGACCCCGCACTTCCAGCCCTTTCAACAATTCATTCCATTCTCTTTCTGCTTTAAATGCCTGGAGTGGTTTCTGTTTTCTGCACTGACTCTGATTAATATGTTTGCTCTGTAGCCTCTGAGTCACCTAAACCTAATCTCTTCAGTTTCTTTTGATGGGAATGAAGACATGAGATGAGACGCAGGGGCCTGCAGTGATCTGATGCCTTCAGCTGGGCTTGCCCTTGCCAGGTGCCACAGACCCCACATTGAGTTTGGCCCTGAAGGTATCTGGGTTTGTTACCCATAGACTATATTATCTCTGACATCCCTTGCTCTACAAGTATAATGTAAACCATTTCTTCATTTAAAACATTTACAGAATATGTTCTGTAATGAGAGATTGTTGAATATCTGGTTCATGCCCAACTCTTTACTAATCCTACTGATAATTGTAGGCTGCTGACAAACCCCAATGATAGAACAGATTTTTCCTCTGGGGGAAAAGGATTTACATCTTGTTCACACAAAGCCTAGGAACACTGTATGTGGGGAAAGGGAGCTGCCTGTATATGCACTTGTGTGATGAAGTGGTGTTCTCAGTATCTTAGAGCTGTGTGTTATATGTGTTAAAGAAAGCACAATTATGATAAGTTCTAAAGAGTTTTTAGCAGCCTTATAAAGTTGTTAAGTATATCTTGTCAATATAATAAAAGCGCTTTGCCTTTTTAGAAATCCATTCTTTTGTTTTTCTGTGGTTTGTATGAAGGACTAAAAGGTTTGAATTTACCAGTGTCCCCTCAGCACATGTATGCTTCCTTCTCAAGGAAAATCTTATACAAGGAAGAGAAAACATTGAGGGGACTATATTGGGACTCCATGATGTGCTTGGTACTGTTTTAAGATTTTCCGTGACATAGGCATTTTCACCATTTTCCAGATGAGGAAGCTTATCCGGGCTGGTTAAGTAACTTGCCCCCAGTGGCCCACCTAGGAGGCAGCCACACAAGGAGTTACAATGAGGACTGCTCTCCACTGTCCTCTAGCCCTCCACATCTTGCCCTTTATGCTCTAGTTAATGCATATGTGCATGGAATCCCCTACACACACGCTCCTTTTCATCTCTCGCCCTTTAATCGTGTGGTTTCTCTGCCTGTAACGGTCTTTATTTTCTTTACAAGACTAGGTCTCTTTCAAGACTTGAATCAAGTATCACTTGACCCCAGCCAAGCAGGCAGTACCTCGTCTCTCTGTTTAACTCTGTGGCCGCACTTCTCATGTCACAATTAAATTACCTTAAGGTAGCGCTAGCTGCTATAACGGATAAACTCCAAAATCTCAGTGAAGACACAGAAGAAGCTTATTTCTCACTCATGTAAGGTTCAATCAGGTGTTCAGCTGGTGGCTTCTACTCAGTGGTTCAGGAACCCAGACTCTTTTTCCATTATGGCTGTGCCATCCCCTAAGACCTTGCAGTCCTTGGTTTCCAGACAATGGACAGGAAAACAGAGGGATGTTGAGGACGGCGTGGGAGCTTTCTTACAGGTGAGGAGTGCAGGAGCAGACGTTATGCCCACATCCCACTGGCCGGATCTCAGTGACACGCCACACTGACTGGCAAGAGAGGCTGGGAAATGTCCACTCTCTGTGTGCCCAGGCAGCAGGGGAAACTGGTTTGGTGAATCCTACATGTCAGTCTCTTCCCTCCCTTAAAGAACAGAGACTGCATCTCAGTCATCTTTGTATCTGAGGTGCCTTACACACCGTAGACACCCAGTAAAACTCTGATGAACATCACTGATTTTGAAGGGATGGGGTTGCTATCTCATGTGCCCCAAATTGAAACTTACCACATTCCATTATGGTTGCTTAAGAAATGGTCTATCATTCTCTGACTAGGTTTTAACCTTTGAATATAGGAACTCTGTCACACTGTTCGCTTCTGAAACCCCAGCACAAAGGCTAGAACATAGCAAGAGCTTAATAGGGGTTTGTTGAATGAATGAATGAGTTCTCAGAGAGAAGAAAGAGGGACAGAGTTAGTCTATGTGGAGTTAGGAAATACTAATTGAGAAGGTGACATGTGAGTTAGATCTTGAATGACTGATAGAATTTTACCAAGTAGAGAAAGCAAAAAGAAAGTGCAGGCAGTGATGGTGGTGGTGTTTTGTTGTTGTTTTTTTGTTTGTTTCATGAGTAGAAATTTAGAAAACAATCACGTTTAGAAGCCCCCCCCTTTTTTTTTTTGGTGAGGAAGATTGGGCCTGAGCTAACATCTGTTGCTAATCCTCCTCTTTTTGCTGAGGAAGATTAGCCCTGAGCTAACATCCGTGCCCATCTTCCTCTATTTTGTATATATGGGACGCCGCCACAGCATGGCTTGATGAGCAGTGTGTCAGTCTGCACCTGGGATCTGAACCTGCGAACCCTGGGCCACTGAAGTGGAGAGTGGGAACTTAATCACTTCACCACTGGCTGGCCCCCCAACTTTTTTTTTTAATTCGGTATTCAAATATGACAAATGAACTTCAGGGATAGGGGAGGGGAAATATATAACCTTATAACCTATACAATCTCTATTGACCAAAAGAGTGGTGCTAAAAACCTTGGGACTGATCTTTAGCTGCTAACATGTTACTTTCTGGATATTTTTTGAGAAATATCAGTACAAAGGCAGCATTCTGATCATTTATCCTCTGAAGATTTTGCACCATGTCAAGAAGCTAGGGAGATACGTGTAAGCCAAAGGTCCCCCATCATTGCTCCTCGTCAGGGCTTCTCAGAGCTGGCTCTGCATCAAAATCACCAGTTTATTGGTTAGGATGCTTTTGGCTGCAAGTAACAGGATATTTGGCTAAAAGTACCTTCAGAAATACAAGTTTACTTTTCTCCCACAACAAGAAGGTAAGTAGGTCCAGGGATTGTTCAGTACCAGTGATGTCAGGGCCTAGGGCACTTTCTGTGAGTGAATCTTGACTTTTTCTTTATGGGTGAATGATGGCTGCTAGAGTTCTAAGAAACAGTCCCCCTCCACAGCTCCATTCCCCTCGCACAGACACATGCACACAGTTTAAGGGCAAAAAGAGGAGAGGGTTCTCCTCTTGCCTCCCTGTCT